CGGCGCGGTAAGGTGAGCCGGCACCGGCCCCAGCCGGCTCGCTTTCCTGGGAGAAACGCCTGGAGCCGCCGCCCGCACCCGGTCACCCCGCCCGATAAAGCCGTCATTTAAAGGGACGCTCCCACGCGAAAGCTTAAGCAGAAAGTTTATCTCCGTGTTAGTCGAGAAGTGCCCCAAACTCGTCTTCAGTGATCAGGCCTTGGAGCGGTTACACGCCACGCCATCTGACGGGCAGAGAGACGCTCGCTCCGGTTTCCATTCTCTTCAGTCGCGGTTCCTGGCTCTGAGGCAACCGCTCGGGGTGGCACCGTCTGACAGGGCAGCCACCGGCCAAGGAACGCGGCGGGGCCAAGCCCCCCCGCTCCCGCCGAAAGAAACAATAAAATGTTGGGAAAATGTATCTGCGTTTGGAAAACTTTTTTTTTTTTTTTTATGGTACAAAAGTAGCCTAACAAGACAAAGATTCAGGTTTGGGACATTTACATCTTTTAAATACCATTCAAGACTTTGTACCTACGCTTCTAGCTCACAGTCAGGTCGGTGAGGGGTTGGGAGAGTCACAGAATCACAGAATCGCAGGGGTTGGAAGGGACCTCGGGAGATCATCCAGTCCAACCCCCCTGCTAAAGCAGGCTCTCCTAGAGCATTCTACACAGGACTTCGTCCAGGCGGGCCTTGAATATCTCCAGAGAAGGAGACTCCACAACCTCCCTGGGCAGCCTGTTCCAGTGCTTTGTCACCCTCGAAGTAACTCGAGGTAACACAGGTAACTCGCCAACAGTAGAGGAGAAGCTGTCGTGACCAAGCTGCTCTGTACCAGCAGAAACCATGCCCCTAATGACCACAGACCTGCGCCGCTTGTGTGGCAGCGGCCATCGGGTTATAGCGACAATTCAGACAAACCTCAGTTTAAGGACAGCGTATGGCACCTAGTGCCAAAACTTAACATCACGCACCAAAACTTAACATCACGCACTAACTACAGTCAGCTGGAGCTTTCCGAGTTAAGCAGCGAGCAGGATACACTGTATGCAAGAAATATACCACACTTTCTTCTGTGTCGATTTACTTGATATACAGTCAGCCACATATCAAAATACTAAAGTCACAAGACAAATTCTCTCTTCCTCCTTTCCAGTGAGAAGCCATAACATATTAAAATTATGCCAAACAGATAACCCACCCCCTCACCCCCCACCCCAGATTCTCTAGTTGAGAATATATACTCTAATGGTAAAGATGAGAAAAGCATTTTTTGATGTCCTGTCATCTACGGTTATTCTCACCCAAAACACCCACAAACAGACCCTTAACGGAATTCAAAGAGTGCTGCACCATTTTATAGGGGAAGTATATAACTGAAACTGGTCTGTGTTTGTTCAACAGCAAAATGATTTTATTAACATTTTAAAAACGTTACCATTTTTCACCGTATCTACTCAAGACTTTCATATGATGCATCGGTCACTTTCAAATGCAATACTTAAAAAAAAAAAGAAGTTTAAACAGTTGCTTATTTTACCTTTGCTTTTCAACACAGACCCTAAGTGTAGTAAATCCCCAGGAAGGTTAGTATCTTATTCCAGGGTTTGTAAACCACTGCATGGGAAATGCAACACTTTTAATTTCTTACTGAGCATAACGAGAAATCTCTGATTGTTCTTTCAACATTATCTGCCTTCAAAGTGAAAATCAGAGGACAGACACCCTCTACCCAACTAACATAAGCCAATTAAAATCTTAGTTCAAGCTCATTGGCAGGAATACTCAGGCTAGCTAAAAATTCCCATAAAGACCAACTAGAAGGCAACCTCTAACGTAGAACTACATCTACTTTTGTTCAAAAAATAAAGCAAAAATCAAATGAACCATATACTGATGAAAGCTGTAACAGTGCCATGTCGGTTTTACTAAGAAGAATGCCTTTTAATGGCAGTACAAAGAACTGTGCAAAGGTTTCAAGAAGTAAAACAATACTCAGCTTCTGGGTTTTTTCTTTCTCTATTTCAGAGAGAAATTAGCTACAAACACTGCTCCTACCGCAAACATCCTAGCCCTGTGTGGCTACCCAAACCCAGGGTGTTTGGTGCCACCCGTTTGCACAATTCTTGTGTGTTTTGCTTTTGAAGACAAGTGGCAGGCTTAGCGTACCTCAACAGACCTCATTTACTGAAATGTCCTTTTAGTACCAATCTGTGCATTGCATACAGACTTTGGGGGGAAAAAAGGTCTAACAAAGCTGAGTTAATTAGTAATTAATTTTGTGTGTTTTATTTTAATTGAGACAAATTCTTCATTTGATTATACTCTTCCTGGAGTACTTTGTGAAGTAAGAGTCATGGTTCTACTTTCAAATGAACTCCACTGGATATTTTCATTTACAGAAAGCAAATTTTGTATCTGCATTGTAAATAAATATATTTAACACTGACAATGAGTACTTCCAATTTAACACTCCATGCTGACTGGTATAACTAGATTACAAAGAAGGAATATAAATAAAACAAGTATGTATATGTGTGTATATATTCATTTATATATAAAATACAACTAAAAGCCTGTTTATTTTTTTAAAAATAACTATGCATTTTAATGTCATGCCAAGAAGGCACAAAAAGCTCTGACTCTTTGTACATAAAAACTGGTCAAACCACAAAAACCACCTCTGGCCCATTACACGAGATCTCTCCCTGAAGAGAGCGAAGATTTCATATGAATAAATCTATCTCCCAAAGAACAACTCTTTTTCTTTACTCGAGGAACAGAAGTTGATTGTACTTGACCACAGAAGCTGAAGACATATGGAGCTAGACTGTGGTTTTGTGGCCACAGCCACATTTTCAGGTTGTGTGTGTTTGCGTACGTGCACAAACATGAGAGCGAAGTGGAGTGGAGCCGGATTTGTGGGAGCCAGTCTCCCCACAGGTTGCTGCCTCAGGTAGAATTGCTCTCTGGAAGGGTAAAGCGTATGAAGAGGTACATTACCTACTGTAATTTTGCTGTGCCCCAGTAGCAGTCACACCAGCTATTAGAGTAATTGTTGATCCTGACCTTCCTGCTATCAGTATTCCCTTTGCTACCTATCACCCTCACCTAGTTAAAATTTCCCATTTGGGTCTTCGTATTTCCTTGCTTCAAAGGCTCCCCATTCTGCTTCTTTATTCCTGCATTTGCTCTTCACTTATTTCAACCACCCCTTCACCTTTTCATCGTTTTTCACCTCCTGTTCAATGGCATTGTGTTTTCACTCATAAGCAAAAGCATGGCCTAAAATTAGTTGCTTCAAGCAAAACACATTTCTAAGCATATAAATATCTAATATAAATACAATCCCAGAGTAGACTTCTGGATATAGACATGCTGCTATCGCTGTTCTTTATGTCTCTCCAGGTTTTTCGGTCTTTTTACCATACAAACTCTATGGTTGCATGGACACGATCTCCCCACAGGTCTGCACAGACCAGAGAAGGCTCTCACTCCTGAATTGTACCGTTTCTGTCTCTTGTCCAATGCCCTGACAAAGTACAACACTGAGACTATGCACAGGGAACTGGATTCTCCTACTGCCTGCTCATCAGGCTGCTTACCCCTAAAAGCATTGTTCTTTGTAGCCAAAAAAAGATAAATATACAGACATGCATATATGTATAGTAAGAAAGACCTGAAGCTGCATGAAGGACTGCAAGAAATGTGGTAAAATCAGAGATCACAAACTGGCTACAACTGAAATCCTGTACAGTCAGCGTAAGCAAGAGCAATCACAGCAGGAGGTTTTGCTGTTTTCTGATATCCAAAGTGTTTTACTAACCATACACAAAGAAAAGCCATTTGTTTCTCTTTTAAACTGAGACACACTTGCTAGGACAGACTGGCACACAATTTTAATCCTCCCAGTCTAATGGAATCTGCTCATAATATAACTATTTGTTCAAGATTTTTGTCTCTGTTTACACATTCTGAAAGATCGTCAAAACTCATAGTAACTTGCATCCGAAATTCCCAAATTAAAGTTTTCAGTTTTAGTTTTCCTTTCTAATAAGGTTTGGTTTAAAGAAGCAAAATGCACCCTCTGTTGGGCCAAGCATGTAATGACTTTCTCCCAAGGTCATCTTTTTAACGGCATGGTTTATCAAGTCCTGTTATGAAGGTTTGTTTTTATGATTAACTGTGTGCAAGTCATACAAACATTTGAATCAAAATTAGACTAAATTAAACTAAAGTAGCACAGAATATTCAGTGCTACTATATAGCCACTAGGAGATTTATGATCTTTTTCAAACACTGCTTACATTTGTAGGATTTATAAATCTTTTCAGCAAGCACTGGAAATTCATTTATTGCAACCTAAACCAAGCAAATACCCGTACTTCATGTCAGCACCAAAGCACAGTTTACACCACTATCACTGCAATCCATTTTTTAGAGCTGGACAAGGATTGCTAGCTAGCATGTTAAAAAAGCTATGCACAGAAGCCCCAAAGTTGGAGCATTTTGGATAGGGATGCTACAGTAAACTCCCAACAGAACAGGGGATTTATTTTACCTGATTTCGCCTTACTAGGATATTTCTAGGTAAGGGTGGGATTCAGTGAGCTAAAACTGGGCAGCGTATCAGAAAAGAAAACAGAAAAAGGTCTTAAATCTACGTATGCTGATGCCTATACCCATGTGAAAAACACTGAACTACTCAGATTAGCAAAGTGAATGTGGGCTGGTATGTGAACACTGGAGTCGAAAACTCCCACCACCATGGTGAAGAAGAAAGTCTGTGTAATACATGGCCATCAGAATAGAGACAACATGCAGTTCTCAAAACCAGAAAAGCTAGACGGATTGGATAAGGGAACGTGATAGTGAAGAGAGGTGAAGAGGGAACAGGGGGTGCAGGAACTGTGAGCTGGGGTGCAAAGTTACCAATGATTGCCAAGCTGTAGCAAAGGAAAGCTTCTCCGGAGCACGAGAAGATACTCCATTTAAAACAGATTAAAAGCATACAGGTAGAACTGACTGCTGTGAACCAAGAGTCTTCCAAGGCCTGCACTTAATCCCTTTCACAACAGTATTTAATAAAATTGCATTGTTGTAAAATACTTGAGAATAGTAAGAAAGAAATCTTCCTACCTTGAATGTATCCAGCTGCTGATTAATAGTCTCTGTTTCCATTCCAACAGGACCTTGTGACTCTTCATGTTCTTCGGCTCTCCCAAGCAGACTGGAAAATTCCTCTAGCTTACTGTAAAACTCCTCAACACGGCGAATAGTACCCTCCACTTGATCTTCCCTGGCTTTCGCTCTGTCTAGTAGCTTATTACACTGTTTATTTAAAGCTTCCAAGTCTCTTTTTATACCAACAAGATCCGGAGAAGCTTCAGCTTCTGTGGCTAGCATAATTTTACAGTTTTTATTAGCATTTTCATTATTCATTATAAGTTCCTCCAGCTTTTTCAGGAAACGTTTTATGTCCTCTCTCTGTGACTGCAGTACCTTGAGATCTCTCCCTACAGGAGCCATGCTATCAAGTTCATCATCAAACTCCGCAAACTGAGAGAACATCTCTCGGATGCTGTTTTGGAAATGGCCAATTCCCTGAAGTTTTGTCTCTAAGAACGAGCACCTGTCTTCAACCTGCTGGTTCACTGCAGTGTATTCTTGCTCCAAAGATTCAGCATGGAGCAAAAGGTCAGAAACACCTGCTGAATCAGAAGCTTCTACCACCAGGTCTTGGGCAAGCTTTTTCGCTGAATCAACATGAGGCTTTAAAGCCTGCAAGGCTTTCTGCTGGGCCTGCATCATCGTCAGGTGTTTGTTACTGAATGACTGAGGTCCAAGCGAGTCGTGAGCTTCCAGATGCTCTTTGGCACTTTTAAGCTGTTTTTCAGTTTCCCTGGATGATTCCTGAAACTGCTTCAGCCTTTGGGCCATATTTTCCAAGCACTCTCTCTTCTTATGTAATTGTTCTGTGACCACATTCACTTTCTGATTCAGCACCTTAGTTTCTTCTTGAATAATTTCTTTATCTGTTTGACTTGCACTGAGCAAACTTTCAGCAGTATTATTTAATAGCTCCACCATCCCATGGTGTTTATCCAAGTCCTTCTGCCAGGCCTTCACCTGAACAATAGAATTCTCTATTTCAACAGGGTTTATGCCAACTTTTAATTCGCATAGGCTGCTTTGGCATTTCTCTATCCATGGCTGCAGATTTTCTACATGCTGCTTGTATTTAAGGGCTTTCTCCAGACAATCTGCTAATTTATCTTGCCTTTCTTTTACCTGCTTATTCATTTCATCCCAGTTACTTCTGAGTGTGGCAATTTGGGATTGCAGTGCTGCTTTGTCAGCTCCTTGAGTCTTCTGTAAGATACTTTCTCCTTCTGCAACAATTCTTTCATATGAACTAATCTGATCAGTCATGGTCTTCTTAAAATCTTTCTGTTCTTCAATTAGTGATTGCAAGGCATCGAGTTTGGCTGATATAGGACGAGCCTGGTTCAGCTCTTCTTTCTTTTTGCCTAGCCAGGCCTGAAAGTCCTTAGACATTTGCTGGAACTGATGAGAAGCAGCATATGCCGACTGAAGCTGCTGAATATGGTTATCTACAAAAGAGAAGACAGAACAGAGGTTCATTATCAGAACCTGATAGTATTCAATGAAGAAATAATAATTAATATTGATTCTATTATGAATTATCATTAACGTAAGGAAAGCTGTTCCTTGGTATGTGATGTTTGATTGGAAGACAACCAAGTTTCTTGCAAGGGACAGATCTGTGCCTGCACTACAGCAGAGCAGTGAAGGCATCTGGACATGAATCACATGAGGTGAGCTTAGCCAGGCTGTGTCTACATGAATCTCATTCAGGCAGATTTCAGGGGTAAAAGCCACACAGTCATGTTTCATGGTATTACAAAGTGTAAGCACAGGGGATGTTAAGTGATCTAGCCTAGCAGTGCCTAACTCACGGGCCTGCAGGCACTGTGTGTTCTTAGGGAGACCCTTTGAAATTCCTTGTGACCAGAGGAAATTAAAAAGCTAAAACTGAGGCTGTTAGGGAGAGCAGAGTGTGATACTGCTTGCAGTCTCTTACTTGCTCAGTTCTGTTGTTCACAGGGTAAGGGAACGCTGCAGACTACCATCCCTCTTCTGTCACAAGCAGTATTATACAATTACCACTGCGTTTCACCAAGCCATTAACTGGTGCTTGCCTAAAAATTACAATTTTGGCTTGCACTCTGCACCTATGCAGTTAGGTAGCTCGATGAGCAGCATCCTCTTTCGGTATTCTAATTCAGTGAAGATGCACCTGAAGGAAGAGGTGAAAAAAGCAGCCCGGCTATTGTGCTTCAAATTCTCTCCTGAACTGTTCACTAGGGATCCCAAGTACTGTTTCTACCTTTTCAAGGTATGGGGACTCTCCTAAATTCTAATGTACAAATGCTTGGGAGTTGGACTGGACAGAGAGCTGGTGTAAGGCTCAGCTCACTTAACATCTATAAAGACATATGAGACTATATGCTTTACTTTATGCCTTAGCTACTATCAAATAAATACTAACCTGATTTTTGCTCAAGATCCTTAAATGATTTTAAGATGCCATCTAACTGTCTCGTAAGTTCTGCTTTCAAATACTCTTCTCCAACCAGTGTTGACAGCTCTTCACAAAGAGCTTGAGCTGCATTTATATTCTTCATTTCCCGTTCTATTTCCTCTTTCATTTCTCTAGCAATTTCCAGTTGTTGTTTCACAGCATCAGGTTGCGTACTCACAGCCAGGCTGCTGCTCAGTTTGCTATCCAAGGCACTTAGCTTATCAGACAGACTTCTGAGTAGATTTTGATACTCTGTGCTCTTCACAATGGCTTGGTCAATTCGGTCACATCTGTTCCTCAGTTGGCCAGTTAGACTGTCCCATTTTTGTGCCACAGCTGCCAGTTGCTCTTTTACAATTTCATGGGAAGGTGAATGTTCACCGGGTCTCTTCAGAATCCCTTCACCAGCCATAGTTAACTGCTCGTATTGTGGCTTTCTCGTGTCAAACTCTTTGAGCAGAATCTGGGAAGAAACAAAATCTTAAAAAGCATTTACCACATGAAAAAAGAAAAAAAGCTAAGTGCGTCTGACAAAACTCATGTAGAGTTTGTTGTAGCTAAGCTCTCTTATTGAGTAATCAACCTCCAAGTTTAAAAGCCAGTGAAATAATTGCATCTTCTACACATAAACTGTGTTGTTTCCAAGCATTTATATAAAAGAACCAGAAAAAATGAGGTTAAGTAAATTAAGATCTTCTAATAGAAATTAAATCAGCAGATACAAGTAAACAATGAATTCTGTTAATGCTACAGTAATTAAGTAATGGTACCAAGTAAAATAATTGCTGTTTAGTTTCAAGCAGTGCCTTCTTTCCTGGACAGTTTCGATATTTGTCTTAAGATAGAACTTCAAAGAAGGTGTATTCTGACATAATATTGCAATGTATTATTATAGCACAGAGAATATTTGGATAAATCACAAAATGACTGAATGTGTACTTCAAGACCTTTAAAGTTTACATCACTGGTTCTCAGTATTATTTTTTTTGACAGTAAGTCACAGTGCTTGCAGAAGGACAAATACCATGGTTTTACTTTACAGAACATTCCAAACCTTTTCTTTTTAAGTCAATTAGGTTTAACTTTTAAAGACTGTTAAGTGATACATGATAGTCTTATGCCAGCTGTCCAGATTTCTGAAGCACTCACAAACCAAACCAATATTAAGTAATTTTCACATAGTATTAGAACATAGTTCATGTTTCAAACACTTAATTTTAATCAATATTGATATACCCATTTCAGTAATATTTCTGCAAAATAAAAATGTTATTTCTCATCACAGTTTAAAATAACTGGTGGCAACAGAAATGTTTGAAATTAAAATGTCTAGGTTCTGCAACTTTGTCTGATTTAACTTCTCTCTTTTGTTTACAGTTTGCTGTATTTCTGTAAGTAAACTACTCCACTTTTTCATTATACTTTTTCTTCTTTCACACTCTTGGCCCCATATCTATTCACAGTACTACATTTCACTTACCTTCATATTTTTATTAGCTACTGGCACAGTCAAGTGAATAAAATCTCAAAAAGCGAGTTCTACAGCATAGACTGTATATGAGGACTCACCATAAAATGTTACATACACACTCAAATTAATGAAATTTCAAAGGAAGATTTTCATTTGAAGAGAGAAACCACAGTATGGTCAAAACACAAGAATGTATCAGTATCTCCTCAACATTTCTTTCCTTTAGCTGTTCTGATCTCTCTTCACTCTTACGGTAATTTTTTTCTCACAATTACTGTAGTCAAGTATGACTTAAGCTGATATTTGCTGATAAACAAATCTAATAGCTCATACTAACTGTGCTGCACGCTATTTAAACACAAAACAGTACTTCCCTAACAGCAAAAAAGCAGAAGAAACTTAATAACACATGTTGGCATTACTCACCTGAACCTGTTGCTTTTGTGTATTCAGCATATTAGGATCAATTGATAGTGGTCCCAGCACGCTGACCATTAGCTCCTTTTCTACAAGCCAGTGCTTTAACTGAGCTTCTGCTGTCTGGAACTGGGTCAGGTAATTTGAAGACTCCTCCAGTTTTTGTTGTCTCTCAGATGTAACTTGATTGAGCTCTTTCCATTTGGAATCTAACAATGATAATGTTAACATACTGCACGCATGTTCTAGCGGATGGGTTGTCAGACATGAAACATAAACAGAGCTCTCTAATAAGGCTTCTTGCTGATTAACTCCAGATGCCTTATTGCAGTGACTCGGCAAATATATCTTTTAACAGTCAGATCCATATACACTTGGATGAAGTCTGCAGTTTAGCACAGCCACGTGCGGAATTTTTAGAGCAATGAATATACAACATGTAATAAAACTGGATTAAAATATTACTAAGTGAAATACCACCACATTTAGGCTTCGGGCTTAAATGACGCAAAAGCCAAAGGGCTGTACTCAGTTATAACTTAGGTGCCTGGTTTAGAAAGACGAATCTTCCTGCTTATTCAGTAAAAAGAAACAGATACCTTTTCCAAGGCTGAGCAGAAGCCCTAGGTTAGGCTTCTACTCTGAACAGCCCTCTGAAGGAGCACACCTCTTTCAAATATCTGTGTTAGGAGCCTGTGGAGATTAACTGCTGCATTTAAACATCTAAACCAGGTACCTAATGAAAAGCAATGAGAATACTTCTGTTCACAGGTATTTCAGAAGTGCTGTGTGAGCTTAGGTTCCCACCTAGGCCAATCTATGGTCTCTTCCCCTTGTAGCAAGTGGCTTCCAGAGCAGCCAGAGTCTCACAGTCTTGTAACTTCCCCCTTCCCTCTGTGATACTGTCAGTGCTTGCTCGGTCAGCCCTGATATTTCGCTGACTCTCCTCGTCCTTGAATTTTATCCATGTTTTTTTCAGTTTCTTTTGCTACTTCACTGCCTTTGTCCTCTGCTCGTTCTGTATTAATACCCTTTCAACACTACTCAAGTTCTCTTGAAGACCTTACCTGCTACTTAAACTTTTCAGAGTTTCACTTACAAACAGGACATATTGGAAAAATTCTCAGCTTTGAAATTATTATTTGTGTAGCTACAGAAATGCCTGTCAATATGAAATATGACAAATCTAAATAGAATTTTTAAAAGCTCGTGAAAATTATGCATTGCAGTATCTCAAAACCTACTGTCCAAACATGGTAATTTCCAATTTTTTTTGGCAAAATTTATGGAATCAGTTTTAGAAAATGGCAAAAAGCCACCAAAACCACAAAATGACAAAAGCCACTAGTGCGTGGGAAAAAAGCATGCAGAAAAGCATTACCAACAATTCAAACCGTTCTTTCCATGAAATTAGAATTAACCTAATTTGTTATATTTTGTAAGAACAACAGTGTATGTTTCTGGAGCAATAACTGACCAGTCAAGTTTTAGCGGCACACTGTTTGAAAAAGACAAAGCCCTCTCAAGCAGGGAGTCAAGCTACAGCCTCTCTGAATTGCACTGATACAAATTCAAAGCCCATGGACATTACTGGAATTTCTCCAGACCCACACTCTTGTAAAGGGAGCTCTTTCCACAGAATTTAAGGGGTAAGAGGGAGCAAGACATGAAAAATACTAGTGATTGCTAATACACTAAAGAAGCTCATAATAAAATAACTTCCAAATCAGTCTGAGCTATAATACAACTTTACTTTAGTACCTATTTTATCCAACATTTGTCTCCACTTGGGTGCCTCAGGAGAGTCAGGGTTCTTCTCCAACAGCTCTGTCACTTTGTCCTTTAGTTCCTGCACTTTATTCGCACTTTGCTTTAATTCACTTTCAAAAAGCTGCAAATTCAAGTGATAAAACAAATAAGTAAGAGACTAAAGAAGAATGATAAAGTGTTAAGTTTGAAGTCCATAATACTGAGATGCCAAGCATGAAGATAAACAATAAATATCTAGCACTTACGTATTACTTTTCTGCTATGAATCTCAAAATACTTTATAATGGCATATGTTGCTGTTATTTTTTTTTGAAGAGAGAACCTGACATATAAACTGTATTATAATAACAATAATTATTGTTGAATTTGAATAAGTGACAGAACTGGAAGAGTTCAGATAAATAAGATCCACTAGGTCCCCTCATATTCACCTACACGTGGAATCTGTTCGTGTACAGAATGCAAACTGACTAACGCACAGTACAGTTCACAGCAGAAATAACCCAGCTGGTACCAACAAAGAGGAGTGTGGTGTGGCCTCATTTATCTCAGTGGAAGTCCTGCTATCACAGATCGACTGCTTCTTGTAGATCACCTAGAACTACAGTTTAAAGAGCACCATAGCTTAAAGCATAGACCTAGCAGGAGACCGAGGTGCCCCAGACATTCCTAATTCATGCTGTTCTTACAGACAGAAGTGAACAGTCCTTATGCCTGGAAAAAGGCTCTTACATGAATATTCTTAACTAACAAAGCTTGCCCCGTGGAGCTGCATTTTAATTATCCAAAACTCCCTAAAATAAACACTGAACAAACCCGTGCTTGATACAGAACTTTTACTAAAAGGTCCAACTGCATCAGAAGGATGAGTCTTGCCTGAGCACTTGCTCAGTGTTCCAACTATTTATGAATACTCTTCTATTACTACACTGGGGGCAAAATGATCGTGTTAGCTTTGCACATTCTCTGTTAAAAAGTAAGAGCTAGTTTTCTTCCACATTTAGTATGAGTTTTAGGACGGAATTTTATCTAAGTCTGAGGGAAGTTAGCTGTTCAGGTTCGTTTTTAAGCATGACCCACCAAATATAAAAGTAGCCCCTCCACTGAATCAAATTCTGTCCTTGTTTATCCACAGTCACAGGCAAGGAAAGAATTTTCCCTATCCATTATGTTTCCCTTTACAGATGAACCTTTACATGTGTAAATATTGTCTTTCGTTGCTAGAGAAGCATATGTCTCCAACGCTGAAACAGGATAGAAGTTTACTGCTGATTCAGTGGGTTTCTTGTATCAATTTAAAAGGGTGGAGGAGACTGTTGTGCAGCTATATAACTTAACAAGCATGACATGGCTGCTGAAGAGAAACACTGCCTTGGAATAGGCATGAGCTGCTGCAGCTGCAGAGACCAGGAGGTCTGTGGAGTGTCAGTGAACCAGCAGCTGCAGAAACAGCTTTTGGACAGATAGAGCCCTTCAGATCTTACCAGCAATCCAGTATGTATCTCTAAATCACTACAGAGATCAAAAAAGTTGATTGCATAATCAATATAGCCTCACCTATTTGAACTGGCCACCAAAATTATTATTTTCTGACCTGCACAACTCCTTCTCTCTGACACAGTGCTTTTACTCCACTGACACAGCTTGCCAGATTTTCTCTAAGCCTGGCTGGCATGCTTTCTAGGATCATTTAAATACCCTCTGCAAGATTAAGCTAGGCTGACCTATCAGTTGTTCAAACAGAATTTGCCCAATAACTGCAAGAAAGAGTCTTTTTTTAAGGCAAAATGTACCTTATGTTGCTCAACTTGGGCTTTAACCGCTTCACTATCAGTTGGAGTGGCTTCCCAATCTGACGCAGTTTTGTCCATTTTTTGCAACCACTGCATCATTGAGGTCGATTCTTCCTGAATATTCTGCATTTTTGAAAGCATACTTTCTAGCTCTGAAATCTTTTCCTTCAATAAAACTCCCAGATCTTCATAACTGTGATTTACATCAGACATGGCTTGTTGAACCATTGTCAGTTCTGTAAAAGGAGAGATGCACAAAGACTGTTAGAGGTTACAAGCCCTTCAGACAAGACTTCAAAAACTTCTAAACAGTACTCTGAGTTACAATAGCTTATAGTCCCCCAAATAATAAGTCGCTGAACATGTCCGTTATTTCCAGTTCACTCTAAATGTGGTAACACTACATCTGATGATCTAATGTAAGCTCCTATTTGCAAGAGCTTCTCATTTCACAGGAATCATTACTTTAATACACACAGGTACACAGATACAATGAACACATATTACAGTCCTTCTACCCATTGTTATTTTTATATTTTAAGCAACAATTCCATGACAAAAAGTTGAACATACTGGACTACAGTTCAGTTACCTGTATGACAGCCTAACATTACTGCTATAATATTTTTCTCACATTCATGTACTATAAATGTGTTTTATCACTGAGAGAGCACAGGCAGACTGTGTGCTAAGTAGACTGTAGTTTAGGAGAACAGGCACTACAGACTTGGGATGTGGTAAGTAGCTATCCACAAGCCCATATAAAGTGCCTATATAAGTTCCTATGCTTCTCTAAAGGGTTTGGTCATGTACAGTGATATAAATGTACGCAAAATGGGTGTCTTTGTACATGTGTGTTTGTATATGTGCGTGTTGTGAACGCTGGTGAGTGTTTAAGTTTCAAACCACATACACACGTGTTAGAGTTTTCTTAAAAGCCATGCGTTATGTTAAAATAGCTATCCCTGTATACATTTGTAGATGTACATATTGATTCAGAAAATACAGCCAGATTTCATCTGTCTTCAAAGAAAATATTGAAGGTAGGTAATTTTACAATTAATTTTAGTATCATGTCCTAGTCAATAGTTTCGTTACGTGACAGTGATGTGAAATTTCAGTCTAGTAGTGACTGCTACATGCAGATTTATATTCAACATTTTAAAAATACTTACATATTTAACAGTAATTGGCAAGTGCATTTCTTTATCACATCCTGAAATTTTTACTGACCTTTATTTTTCAGGAAATCCTGAGTTCCTGGAGCTCCTCCTTCACCATTTAACATTGTGCCACCTGTGGATCAAGAGAGAACAAGTCTCATGCTTATCTGGGCCTTTTCCCACCAAAAACCCAGCACTGCATTTCCTCCTCAAAACAACGTGATACATAGCTCTCATTATAACGTTAAAGAAGTATCTGCATGCTAACCTTGTAATAGCAAATATTTTATTTAAACTGTTTTACATATTTTAAGATTGTTTTATGTTTTAAGCTGTTCCAGCCAGCTAGTACCGTACGTGGTACCACATATGCACAGCATATGTATAGTGGGTGGGTGTACACATATAAGTAGCACATATGCATGATGTATAAGCAGTCCTACCGCTCACAATACCATGCTAAATAAATGACTATGCCCTGGCTGTGAGGCCTACTCACATCCACATGGCTAACATCACTTCCTTCCTCTCTGCAAAAGGAACCTGTTCCCTGCTGCCTATTGAGAACATGGTTTTACCCAGCCACATCTGGGTATAGCCTGGGAGAGGGGTAGCTGGCAAACGCTGAGGCTCTGAGGAGAGGTCTAAACATCAAACAAAAGAAGCCCAAAGCAGTCATTGCAGACACTGCAACCAAAGGCACTGCTTACTCAGGACACCTTTACCCACCCACCAGGGAGGTGGTTGAGTCCCCATCCATGGAAGTATTTAAAAGACGTGTGGATGTGGCACTTAGGGACATGGTTTAGTGGTGGACTTGGTAGTGCTAGGTTAATGGTTGGACTCAGTGATCTTAAGTGTCTTTTCCAACCTAAATGATTCTATGATTAAGCAGCACTCCACCAACGCACAAAAAGCTCTTGACACCAACCGGACAAATCCCTCCCTATCGTGTCATGAGCAAGACTTGAACACGTGCTCCATGACAGGGATTGCAATGTGGAGTCCTTCCTGTTACACGTGAAGTCCTTACTGTCACTCGGAGGCAGCCACTCACCCAGGCCACTCTACTAATTAAACAAAATTTCAAAGCCTCTGGAACCAGGGCTACATGGCCTTTGTAAAACACCATCAGACCACAGAGCACTGCAAGGAGAATCACTTCCCGCTCTCTTGCACATATGTATTCCCAGATGAGCAATTAACAGAGAAAGATTAACGGTTGCCTTGGAAAAGGCTATGCATCTACCTCACAGTACCAGCTGGACAGCGAGGACCACATTAGCAGCAGCTGGAGGATGGCAAGAGAAAATAAAACCAGATAAGAGGAGTCACAGGCCCCAGCCAGAGCCTTGTAAATCTTCATGCTATATTAGCTGGACTCCAGTATTTATAACTGTGATTAAGTGATACACACTACAGCTCTTGTCTAGGAAGGCAAATACTCTAGTCTGGAGGATTACAGCTGCTCTTATATGCTAGTTATTTTTTTTTTCCTATTTGGATGCATAGGAGTAGAGAAAGAAGCAGAGGAAGGAGCCCAAATATCCCATATAAGGTTTCAAAATGTTCTTCAAAAGATTTTTATTTAAGATTCAAACAAGAATGAAACCAGAGGCAGCTACTACAAAAAGCTGTGAAAAAGGAAGTGCTCTACTCTTGCCAAATAGGTATCTTCTGGCAGTCCCCATCCTCACAGTCCTTTGCAGATGACCAGTGAAAGCCGACACACTTGAAACTACTAGGTCTGGAAATAAATTCAGGAACTGACTGAAAATGTGCCTATGGCCATTAAAACACCCTCAGTACTACATGCCTTGAACTATGTCTTGAATGATAGTTAGCAGAATTACTGGTTTCAGTAAAATAAATTAACATTTAAACTCTAGAGAAAATCATGGCAATAGATCTGCTGTCTTTAAATTCAGAAATACCAGTAAAAAGGACTTAGCTGCAGCTCCAGGCTAGAAGCATGTTTTGGCCCAGGAAAGTCACCCTGGGATATGGATTTGATTCCCTTTTGTGCTGTTGTTTCAACTAAAATATTGACTAGCATCAACTATGCTATCATATTGGGATGAGTAGGTTCATCTAGGCTCACTTTTCAGATGAACCATGTCCTCATTACCCTTCTAACAAGAACTCCATGACTCTGCAAATCTTTTATGTGTTTGCTTGGCGTCACACAGAATAGCCTTGTGGCCATGAAAGAGGTCTCCCCGTGGAGCAAAGGTGCCCAGGTACATCAATGTTTGCAAAAGCAGGGTTTGTTTTTATCCTACTTGCAGACTCGGTGGATATGTGAAGCACTAAACACCGCTCAGAATAAATCGGTTTGTTACTATCAGAAGTTTTCTGGGATGAGGTAAAGGTAACTGCAATACTGTTCATTTTATTCATTATCTGGAAATTACAGATAAAGCTGAAGTAACAGCTTTAGGACCTGTTAATCATTTACATCAAAGCGCTTTTATGCTTTTCTGGCAGTGTAAAGTGATCAGAATGTGTACTGAATTACTACAGCACTTAGACAGTTTAAATGAGAGTCACAGTAAATGATGGTCAAAACAAACATGGCTAACTGACTTCTCACAAGCCATAAGATTCAGAAAGCTAATCCAAGGGTGAAATATTTTAATTTTTGTCTTAAAGGTTTTAAAAAATCCTGAAATGTTAGGCTTACCTGATCATACAAATGCATACCTGATTTTGCAACTGCTCTCACTTTGGCAGGAGAAGTCACAGCAGTAATTAGATTACACAGCAACGTTCCTTTGCTATTCATTTTCTGCAGTTCAGGTGCTTTTAATGTCCATTCATCTTTTAAATTCTGGATAAGAAAAATAGTCATTTGCTCATTACAAAACTGATTTCAAACTTAAAAGATTTAGTGTAGAGAAAGTAACAACCTTGCTACTTGGGAATCCCCTGCAGTATATTCAAACATGCAAAGGAAATGGGAATGCAGATGTAGACTGCAAGCTCCCTAGTCCCCACTACTGTGACTGCTTACCCCTTAAGTCTGTACTTTTATGTTACTAACAGATGCCCTATTTCCTTCAGCCATATTTCACTTCTCATCTACAATGTCTTACCAATGTATCTTCCAAAGGCTTCTTTAACTCCTCTGTATTCAGAGACGGTTGCACTGCTGGAATTCGTTCTGTCGTCTCTTTTATCCATTTCTTTAATGATTCTACAAGGAGCTCGAAAGTATCCATTTGTTTCTGACAAGATGATACATCCTCTTCCCTAGACAATTAAAGACAACAAAAGAAAAGCAGCACTGGATGTCAGTATTCCTTTTGAATACTTCTTAACCCAACAGATATTATCAATCTGATATTGCTGTTCCTAAATTCAGAGTCACAAAACCTAATTTTACGGATATGAACAGAAAGTAGAAAATCTAATCTTGCCATACAGGTAATTTATATAGAAGCGCTAATAATTTCTTCAGTTTTTCTTTGCAGCCTGATTCCAAATGGCATATATTCTATCAGAGAAGGGGAGAAGTAGGATTTTTTTAGGACTGGCAGGACTCCTGTGAATGTCACAAATTTTGAAGAGTTACTTGTCTTTACAGCGAACATTAGAGCTCTTGAATGAGACAGACTAACTACAGAGGCATTTCCAAATAGAATCTTTTTTTTTTTTAACAAAAAAAATCTCTGCTCTGTGGTTAACTGCAATGTCTTGAGATTGCATGCAAGAGGACGGCAGTCATCACAACATTCACACTGTACTAGCCAAGGTGGAAAGACTTTAATAATTCGACTTACTTTTCCTTTACAGTCTCCTCTACCTCTCTGAATTTCTTTGACAAAGCATTTACTTTTTCTAGTACCAATGCTTTATCTCCAGGAAGAGCATGGAACGAAAGTTCTTCAAGAAGCTGCTGCAAAATTTCCAGATCTTTCTTATGTTGTGCCAATTCCACACTAGCTTCCTGGAAAACAGGATTACGTTCTTCGTATTAGACTTTACAATTACTTGCTCAAAATTAAATTCTTGATTTTAGCTAACCAAGGGGAGTTGGGAAACAAGCATGCCTTACTCATTGTTCAAGCACTTAGATCAGTTAGACTAGAAATGCACGATAAACACAAATGGAACAGAACAGTACCTGCATATATTGAGACACTTCACTAACATCCTTTCTTGGTGCCTCCGTCTCACTGAGTGCCTGGTTTTTCTCATCTAGAAATGACTGAAGTTTTTCCGACAGATTTTCAAATAACTCCACTTTAGTCTTCAACTCTTCCATTTTCATAAGCTTCTCTTTATGCTTGTTACTTGCTTCAGAAAACCGTCCCGCAAGTTCACTCATTTTAGCTTGCAGTGTGGATGCAGTGGATGAGTCTGCTGTTTCTGTGAACTTCTTCACTTTTTCATTCATAGTGTTTATACTGCTTTGGCGACCCGCAATGTCTTGTTCTAGCATCTGAAACAAGCAAGAACTACTTTGTATTGCTTATAATTAAATTTTAAGACGTGAAACTGGTCCACCATGCAAAGCAACAAATCAGTAGAGCTAGACCATCAGGATAGATCTATTTATTTCAGCTACAAAACCCCTTATGTGCAGTTTCACTTCACACAACAGTCCTCTTTATTAAGTATTTTGAAACCATTAAAGGTGCCGAACTAAGATTTGAATTATTTCATGAAATCTGAATTATCAAACATATGTTTCTTCTTTCAGAGAATACTACTTACAATGCTTTTACTAATAATATCCTGAATAGCAGCAGAATTCAAAGGCACTTGATCTTGTTCTTCAAGGCTCTTTTCAACACCTTCCATCCAATCCAGCATTTCATCCAAACCATCCTGCACACTTAGGGATCGTGTCAGAGTTATTTGGAGCTTCTCATTCCTTTCATTCACAGACTTGGATAAATTGTCATACCTTTCCACAATATCATCTGATAAAGAGAAAATATGTTTAATTTTTTTCCTTTAGCCAAACCAAGGTGGTTATTGTTATCATTATTATTATTAATAATAATTAACTAAGCAAATAATTGCTTGGAAACAGACAGTTGGAGTCATGTTCCTTGAGCCTGAACATACTCCTTCCCACTGGAGAATTTATGATCCTCAGCAAATTACTAACTCTGTTTGGCATGCCCATCTGTAACATGTGAACTAAACATAATCCCCATTTCTAAGGGGGGGGGGGGAAGTGAAAAAAAAAATGACCACTTTTAAGGGAAGAGCATATTGATCAAGTGTAGGAAACAGACCGACAATGAAGTTACTTTGTTGTAATACCTTATCACTCAACAAAACATGGACTTCAATAGTGACACAAAAATATGGAAACTGTATTTTGTCTGTTCCAGTACCAGCACGCAGACACAAGTGATAAAAAGAGGTATAAAGAAAAGTAAACATTTTACCCAGTGTTTTCTGAATCTCATCTTTGTCTGGTGTCAGCTCTCCCCTTGTATCCAGTAACACTTCAGCAGCTTTTTTCAATTTTTCTACTGCAATTTGGTGGTTAGACACTTGTCCCTGAAGAACCTGTAAAATTCCACAATTATCAGTTATGCTTTTCAATACAGCTAATAGTTACACACACAAGGCTTGAGATATGCCATACAACCTAAACTTGGTGCTGGGAATAAACTAACTCCATTTGTGACCTCTCCTTAAGTAAAATCTTCACCAGTGGCTATGGCTGCCATCGACCTTCTGGCCCTTGTATTAGTTTATTCACCATCTTTTTATCTTCTGTTTTACAATACTTCTCTGACTCAACAGATTACTTGAATGTAACTTCAAAATGTGTCCTTTGACTAATTGTTTTTAAAGACCACTCATACAGACTGATATACTATCCAAAAGAAAAATAAACATAGTTTTCAACTAAACATCAGAGAACAAATCAGGGGGAAAACCATACAGTCAGCAGCAGTAGTTACACATTCACCATCAGATGTATCGACAAAGGATCAGGCTGATATTGTCATGTAAACAGGAATATCTTGAAAGAAGATGATTGCCTTCACAGTTTAGGACCCGCCTGAAGGCAGTGTCACTGAATTTTGCCTAGGTTTGTCCATTTAACCAAGGAACACAGGTTATAGAGACTAGCCCAGCCATGACTCACTCCAGAGTCAACAGAGAAAGAGAGGAAGGCTGAAGCAACTTCTGAAAGGGGCTTGCTTTCCCTGGTGCATTAAAGCACTTTTGGGTGAATAGTCTTCAAATTATTTCAGGCCTCTGTGCTAGTGTAATATGATGTGTCTTTGTCTTGATTCACTTGAACTTTATACAAGTCCAAAACAAAGGGACTTCTCATTTATTTTTTGATACACACTAACTCAATGAACATATGACTCAAAAGGTAACCCTAGCTGCCCTGCCAGGACAAAGACGTCACGTCACTGCATTCAGCGCTGGTATCCAGAGCACAACGGTACGCCAGAACATAGTATGTCTTGCTGACCCACTTGACACAATAAAACTCAGATAGACCTGAAGAGGAATTTTCCTTAAACTATAGAAATATACTGTACTTGTGGAAAGAAACAAAACAAAAAAAAACCACAAAAAAAAGAAAAAAAGACATACCAGAAAACCTTGTATGTGGACAGAAAGCAAGCAAGCTGATGCCAGAAGCACTGAATATTCTGAAGAACAGCTAATGCCCATAAAAAGATTAGACCCCACCATGCTGCCAAGGTCTGTGTCTAGCTGGATTATCAGCTGCATTTGTTGGCTACAAGGGACAGCTTTAACTTGCAGCACCTGACTTCTTCAGAAATGCTCTTTGTTTTGCTTTCATTAATTGGCTTTCTTTCTTCAGCCTCCTGTTTTTTTCTCTTCCTTTGAATCTTTTGACACGTTCTACCCTCTCTCTTCTTCCCAGCTCATAGTCATTGAGTGCCCTTTTGTGTGGCAAGTAATCCATGTAGGCGTTTCATAAAAGAACCCCAGTACTCACTCCTTTTGTATTACTTGCATGAAAATTGGCATTATACAGGATATAATTCGTTTTGGCATAAGGAACAAAAAGTTTAAATGAAGCTTCAAATTGTAATTGGTGTTATTCCTACTTTTCTAGTGCTTGGAAGCACAAATGTACCTAAATTGTTCCACTGTTAGGAGATCAAAATGTATACTTTTAATTTTGTTGTCCTACATCACCACTGTGATTTGTCTCCTCTGATGTGTCATGCACCAAAGTGTTGGGCAATTCCAGTGGCAGATTTGAAAAATATCATGTGGTAAATGTTCTACTGCTCAGGTTGATGTAATGGCAATGGTTAAAGCATGCACTTTGCAAGAGCCTTTGACTATCATTTGTCAATAGCAAACATATCAGACCTGCATGGATACTCCACACAGCACAGACAAAACAGTGCAGAAATGCCCGAGCAATAGCCCTGCTCACTAAAAAATAAGTAATCTTGCATTTTAATTGTAGTATAGATGATTGAATGTGCTTATGAAAAATCTAAGAGTCAGTTCAAAGACTACAGACTGTATGAAACTTTATAAAACTCATCTTATACTTGGGTTCCTAAACCCTTCTGTAAACCTATGTTTTACACAGCTAACTGGAGTTTTGCCTTCGCAAGCTCGATCACTAACTTATCTAGGATTTACATAAAGTTGTGAGTTACGCCCTCAGTAGGAGGGGGAAAAAAAAAAAAAGAAAACCAAAATACCATTTTTCTGTGCAGCGCAAATTCTGTTCTATTCATACTCTGCAGGGCATATAGTACTGGATACAACTGAAGCAGGCAGACTAGTCTGCTTACACAGTGTGATCCCTTTTGTAATGCAGTAACACACAAATGCAAACAGAAAAAAGCAAGAGTCACAGACAGCAAACATCAAATGGTCATCTCTGTTGGGAGATTGGTCCCAAGCCCTACCCTGAGAGCAAACTGTAACCATTAAAGCCTTTCTTAGTTCAAAAACTTTCCAGATTTCACCCTATCATTTGCTAAGTGATATGAAACACATCTTGCTTTCACCACTGCTAATGGCATCTTGGTCCCCCATTTTTTTTCACCCTAATGCTTTTCAGCTAACACTCTGAACAGCTGAATTTCAGAACTATAAAAGTTGCACAAGCAAAGCAAGAATTTGGCCAGCAGCCACTTGCATTGGATTAGATTATCCTGTTTTTCAGACAAAAAGCAGTTCCTTCTAAGACAGAAGTACTTCTGATTTTAAAGCTTTTCACCTTGGTTTCTTCTAGTTGTCTTTGGAGATTTTTGGGATCCACTGCAATTGGCTCCGATAGTTGTTTGTTCACAGCTATTTCAGAGGCCTGGAGACCTGACAAAAGTCCAGATGAGGCATCTTCATAATGCTGGTATTTATCCACCAGGTCTTTAAGGTTATTTCCAAGGATGCTACACTAAAAGAGTAGAAAACAAACAAGCAAATATCCAGGCATTAAAAACTGTGTGCTGCATTTCATACCAATCTCAATATCATACTTTCTTTCCTGAAATACTGCAGGATTTTTTCCTGTCATCATTCTACTGTCTGATTTCTGAACTAAGGTATGGCAGCTGGACAAGGCTATGCAGGTCTTGCCAGTTTGTGCTCCTCAGGCGTGATATAGGATCAATTCACTGATGCAGGTGGGAAACTGGAATCTAACCCATTGTACTAGAATAGGAAAAGCTTTAGGAATACTTTTGATCCATCAGCATAAAGATTCTTTATCAGCACTCTGACACCAAAAATGTAGCTAGTGGAAGCTAGAAATATAAAAAAAAATAAATCAGAAGATATATGTATGTTCATTAAAATACAGACAGCAGAGTACTGCATAGTGACTCCAAAGTGGTAAGGCTCGATATTGCACATATGGTTTGGTTTTGGTCACTTAAGAATGTCATCTGACCAAGATCCTAGTAGTCCTACATGTTAACATGTCCCAAAATGTATGCAGTGAATCAACATGTAAAAAGGTCAGTGGAACTCTTTCAGACTTTTTAGAGATCTGATTTTATCAAGTCAAAATATTTATAAACAGTTACTTAAATACTTATCCTCTGAATCTTCCATACACTGTAATTTAATATTTATATATGGTGCTTGGTCTCCATCTGGTGGGCAAACATAGAATGCACTTATTTACATAACCGTTTAACTAAGAACTGACTTTAAGATTCCTTCAATCCCTGAATTTTAGAAAAGCCAACTTCCAGCTCCTCAAGGAGATAGTCAGTAGGACTCCCTGGGAAACGGCCCTCAGGGACAGGGGAGCAGAACAGAGCTGGCAGATCTTTAAGGAAGTGGTCCACAGAGCGCAGGAGCTATCGATCCCTAGGTGTAAGAAATCAAGCAAAGAAGGGAAGAGACCAGCGTGGTAAAAAAAAATAAATCAGAAGATATATGTATGTTCATTAAAATACAGACAGCAGAGTACTGCATAGTGACTCCAAAGTGGTAAGGCTCGATATTGCACATATGGTTTGGTTTTGGTCACTTAAGAATGTCATCTGACCAAGATCCTAGTAGTCCTACATGTTAACATGTCCCAAAATGTATGCAGTGAATCAACATGTAAAAAGGTCAGTGGAACTCTTTCAGACTTTTTAGAGATCTGATTTTATCAAGTCAAAATATTTATAAACAGTTACTCAAATACTTATCCTCTGAATCTTCCATACACTGTAATTTAATATTTATATATGGTGCTTGGTCTCCATCTGGTGGGCAAACATAGAATGCACTTATTTACATAACCGTTTAACTAAGAACTGACTTTAAGATTCCTTCAACATACAAGCCTATAAACTCATAAGCGTGTGTGTGAATACATATATCAAAATAGAAGCAATATAAATATTTATTAAAAGCAAGAAGCTTTTACAAAAGGCAGAAAGGTTACTGCAAACCCATTCACCATATGGAAGATCTCTCTAGAAGTCTGTCCTTCAAGACTCAATTCAGTAAGAAAAGCCTACTTTGCGTCAGTTTTGCTCTGCATATTTGAAGCACGTCTATTATGTCTGTGCTAAATTTATGTACAGCAAGGATAGAATTCGGCAAGTTGACAAATCTGAGACCACAAATCAAGCTGCTGGCATAGGATTCTTATATGTATGACAATAAACACTCTGAAAATCTTGTGATGAAATCTCTACATTCACATTCAAACCAATCCAATAAATCAACTGGATGAAATCTAACATGTTAATACCAGCTTTTCACTTCACTGTTCATATAAATTAAGTGGGAGAATGAAAATGAGCTTCTGTAAATGGAGAGCCATCTTCACAAACTGTTTGAGAGAACAGGGTTTACACTGTTTTTATAATGAAGTGATCAAATCAATGTTTTTACAGAATTTACATTTCTGAGCAAGAAAACGTTAAAGAGATTAAAATTGCCAAAGATGGCAACTGCTGCAAACTAATACTGTATCAGCGGACAGTGAAGCTCTACTAAGGAGTCTGAACCTATGATCTTAGAAAATTATGAAATGGCATAGTCAATACCGACAACAACTGTTTCTTAAAATGGTTCAATTAGTAATGATCTCAAAAGTTTAAAATTCCAGAATATTATCAACATTGAACACCACTGTGTTGGTTTTTTGAAAACAGCTGGAGAGTTGGCATGTGAGACCGGTTGGTGATGTTTATCTAGTTCTGCCAGACAGACTCCATACGTGAACCTGGCACAGAAAGCTGGATTATCTTTCCTCTCTAAGGTAGATGAAGGATTTTGCACTGCTAGTTTCCTATTAGAGGCTAATCTCAGATTGTTAAGGATGAAATGTTTATTTGGCACAGCATTGCTATCCTCAAATCACTATGTCCTTGCATGCCTAGTGCTGACAACAAAGGTCACACTGGGACAAACTATTTCAAGATACAAATCAACCTGAAATTTTGAATGTTAAATCTTGGCATAGTCTCTCTCTTTCTATACTCATTTTATTAGTAAGAGGCCAAGTAAATAAGCAGTTATGGGAAATATCACGAGGAACATAAAGAAATGCTATCCATCTAAAAGTATTACAATTTCTTTCCACCCCAAAATGTTACTCAGACATCCCATAATGTCATAAACTTAAAGACTTTGTTTAAGGGTAGAAAGAACAGTGAGGAAATCTGATCTGATTTCTCCCTTATAACACGAGGTAGAAAATTTCATCCATTCAGACCTTGAATAGTCTGGCGCTTGACTAAGGCAGATCTTCCAGAAAATCATCTTGTTCTGTTATCTAACTTTAAGAAACAAAATATATAGTATTTGTTTCACCAGCTAACCTCTTTGTATACAAACTGTCAAATCAATTACAGTAGTCTTTCATACTCAGTATAAATAAAACTTACCTTAGTATAGAGAGATTTGAAACGATCTGAAGCACTATCCAGCTTATTCTGCACTTCAGCATGTGTAGCCGAAGTATCAATACCATCTTTGTCGACCTTCACACCATCTCTTTTGCTACATGACCTTGCAGCATCTAAAACTCTTTGTCCAGAAATTGTAATATACCGTAAGTCACCTTTGTGAGATATAACATCTTCTGAAAAACTCTTCTGCCTTTTCAGTTTGACCATAATACCACTGAAGTCAGAAGCACCTGCCTCCAAATTGTCAAGTTCTTGTTCTGCCTGCTGCAGCCAGGTCTCAAATTCACTATAGTCTGCATCAAATTTTTCAAGTTCCTCTCTTAGAGAATGAGTCAACTTCATTTTCCGTTCTGATTCAGCTAAAGCAGCCTCATACTGAGCCTTCAGCTCTTTCATGTTCCTTTGCATCTTGTCTTTTTCTTCAGGGGAAAGGTAGTGCCCTTGTTTCTCAAGCAGTGCCTGAGCAGACTGAGTTGCTATTATGACAGCCTGCTGCTGCGAAATAATTTTCTCATGCTGAGCCTACAAGAAAAAAATAGAAATAAAAATTATGGCCAGCACCTTCTCAGATGGTTCCCTTAGACCACTACTGTCTCGAAATCTCCGCTGAATTCTGCTTAGAAACAATGAGTAAAACAAAGTCCATCAAGATGATAAAAAGATTTTCTAATTTTCGTATTACTTATTAAAAAACATTTTGTGAGTAATTTAAGTGAAAGCATGACTCCTGGTTCATCATATTTCTGTGCAGTTTCAAAATTTTACAAAACATTCCGTGGGGATTTTAGCCAGATATACAGTGAATGACAAAATGGGAATCTTCAAGAATCACTGGAACTCGGAAACTCTGGGATATAGATATCTCTCTCTCACACAAATACTTTCCCCTGTACTTCTAAAAGACAATTCTATATAGTAAACTAGACGTTATCAACCTTTTTTTTTTTCCCTTAGTAAGAATTATTTGCTTATTATTTAACATTTAGGATAGCACGTTTATTGTAATCAAAACTTTCCCAATTCCCTGTCTCAAAACAGGATTTATCAAATAAAGCATTCAAAAGCAGGCAACTTTCCAGATCAAAACTGTTCCATTTCCTGTTACATATATTGTAGCTACCATTTCAGACAAAAGGACCAAAGGGAATGAAAGCATCAAACATTAAAAAGAATGCAGATACTTTCTCATACTGAGTGAACAAACATTATTACCAGATTTTTTTAAATTTCCGTTTTCCATTTTAACAGCAGTGATTCTTATCAAATATACTTGGTCATAAAACAGGTCCTTTTGACATTAAAAATTGAGACACGTTCTATGTATGTAAATTGTTTCAATCTCATAAAAAAATGACAAGTCATCGGAACTGGCACTGTATGCCAAATAAAAATCTGTATTTCAAATAGATTCTTTCAAATACATCTCTGTTCCTGGAGGTCCTCTATTCCCATGTAAAATAGCTACATAAAGTAAGACTGGTATGCTTTTCTTCCATGAGTATATTGGGCAATTATCCTTGTAGGCATTAGGTGTAGAAAAGAACTGTCAAAAAAGTGGAAGTAAAAACCTTATGTACACAAAAGCAAATTATCTCGTTTTCTTAGTTGTTTGGTTTTTTTTTTAATAAAAAAGGAAATCCAAAATAGTATCAGCTATCAGCATAACCCCTTTCATCAACATTTCCATCAAACCACACCTAGAAGTTCTTGGTCACTCAACTGTAAGTCAACAAGTTGCTGCTTTTTGCATTTCATCCACCTGCATTAATTTCTCACTATAAAAATTAAGAACAGACTCACCATCAGGATTCTCAATGTTTACCTTGTAGAAAAAGTCCTTTTTATTAATTTGCAGGAAACAACCATAGTAACAGCGAAAAAGTGACAAATTTGTAATATATTCTAACTACTGAAATTCCTACCTGTGTATCACTAACTTCCTAGTGCCTGTTCCAAAGTCTATGACAGAAAGGACAAGATTGAATTCACTCACGTTGACATGCTTAGCACCTAAATGTTGAATAAACCCAGTAACAGTACCTTGACTTTCTGATACTGCTGGTTCAAATTATCTTCTGTGCTCTTTACTAGTCCATCCACCCGAGTTTCCATGTCTTGCTGAATTTCCAGCAGATTACCATTGACATCATCCTCCTCTCCCTCCAAAGTCTTCACATCTCCCTCTTCAAAGTGTGTTCCATTCTGTTCTATCGCCTGCTTATATTTCCGGCCATGCTCCGCTTCTTTATCCACATTTGATAACCAATCCAAGAGATTTTCTATTGTATTTTTACTTTCTTCCAGCTGTTCTATGGCTGCAACCTACATTGAAATTTCACAGTTTCAGTTTAGAAATCTTCTTTAGGCACTACAAAATATCATATGCAAACAGACCATTCAAAATACACTAGCATTAAACAAAATTTTTGATTGACATTTATGTTGCTGTTTATTTTATAAAGAAAATTAAACAGCAGTTTATTAGTCACCCAAATAAGATATAATTTTTATCTCTCCACAGTATATCAATAATAAGTTGCGGCACTAAAAACACATTAAAAGTTTGAATAAAGGTATGAAATGGTTGCCCAAAAACCTTTTCTGTTTCTTGCTTAATTGCTGTTGTCATAGCTTTATCCAATTCTTTTTTGGACTCTTCTGCCTTCTGGCTAAGGAGCAAACATTTCGTCTTAGCTTCATTCAGTTTCTGTTCAAGAATAGTCTTGTCTTCTTGCGACAACTTTTCTCCATTCTCTTTCAAGAAGGTTTCAGTATTTTTCACAATCTCTGCCAGTGTCTGGGCACTCATTCTCATGTCTTTTTGTATCTCCTTTTGAGAAAAAAGAAATCAAATAGCAGTAAGTAAATTATTGACCAGATCTTTCCAATAAACTTTACTGGAACTACCTCTGTTCTAGGGGCAAGCACCACACTGGTCCCTTCCTATATGAGAGAGTACATGATATATTACTAAACTGCAGATGGGGTTATTAAAAATATAAAATCAATTCAACATCTGATAATGTTGCTGCAGCTCTTGTTTTGTTTGGTTTTTTTTTTAATTAAATTGCAAGTCTGTTGGCTCCTGTTCAGACTGAGGCCATTTTTTTCCTTTGTTTAGCAGCTCAAATATTGTATTTCCATGTACAAAGAAGAAAATACCACCTTATTTTTTAGATATCAAGAGATAAAGTAAATCTGCTACACTGTAGTTAGTGAAGTGAGTCTCCTGACAAATTCCATTCCATTACTATCCTAACAGAAACCCACGAAAAATAAGGGGATTGAATAGAAGTCAGGAACTTGTAGTCATCTTTCCCAGGTGGAAGTTTTCCCGTATTTCATGGTTTTGTTCAGGCCAGGAGTGCCATTAAGAATATTTTTCTTTAACTGTAATCAGTCATAACATTTTAATCTCTAAATAATGTTTAAGTCCATTTAATTTCAGAGTGGACAGATGTTGAGTTTTAGTTTACCCAAAGCAGTTTGCCTAGTCCTATGACAGAGTCAGATAAAAAAGCCAGCTCCAAGAGCGCTTCTTGCAATTTCTAGTACGTACTCCCTATTCTAGTGTCTCCTAGTTTGAAAGTTTCTTTCCTCCCACTGGCACATACTGGAGTGTATTCATGGGCAGCAGTTTAAATGCACGCCATTAAGCCTTTGCTTTTGGTAGGTCAAACAAATCTATTTTACTCTCCTCTCACATGACAGTCTTGTTACTCAACAAAAGAGTCCAGTCACTCCTCTGTGCACTCAGTCTTCTTTAAGTTATCTAACTGGAATTGTGCATACCTCCTGTTTGGTCTGGTATTGTTCTAGCTCAGCCTTGCTGTCTCCAATAACAAGAGACTCTTGCTGTCCAATGAGGCGATTTTCAGTCTGCGTAAGCAAATCACAGATTTCCTGCAGTTTCTCTTTGCATCCCTGCTGCCGTTCAGCCACATCCTATATTAGAGCCAAATACAATTGAACAATAAAACAAAAACGTCCTCACTTCAGGAACTAACAGGCACTCTAATAGCAATTATCTTTGAACATCAGTATTGCAAAGCAATCATTTTAAAAGTATGCTGTAAACATGATAGCAGTGGTACAAAGAGCAAGATGAACATACAGAAGTTATGGATAAACCTCAAATATGTTGTAAGTAAAAGAGACCATGGTTGATGGAATTGCCCAATAGAAGTCTGGCCATGCACATATGTGAAAGATGAAATCTCCAAATAACAGGAGGGAAAATCCAGTCTCTTAACCGCTTGAAACCTGCAATAAACACTATTAAGTCTGAAAAAAGGACATCAAAACAGAGGTTAGTTGTGATTGTGAGTTAGCTCTTGTTGGTATGCATAATATGTTACCTGAATAGAAAATGTTGACTTTTTAAGCAGTAGAAAAGAACAAAACATGCAACCTAATTATTGTTACTAAGTCCTAGAAAAGTTATCTGTGCCTCTCCTTTACTCAGTTTTATGTTTCTTTCACAAAGTATGGTAGAAACAAATGTTCTTAAACCAGCAAAATAATACAAGGTCTTCGGAATGCTAAAACACCTTTCATTATGCATAAACCGGGGGTTGAGGTGGTGATTCTGAGTCTTATCAGTGCTTCTATGAGAGAAGAGGAGATGCAGTTACACCGCAGCACCTTATCAGCCTGCTTATGCTTGCCAACTGCAGCCATGCCACTGTAGAGGCAACTGTCCCGACTTGACTTAGAGCTTTCTCAGTGCCCGCATCTAGAATTGCAAATACCTTAGCTGATTTACTCATGTTTGTCCTTCTAACCTATCTCAGTCAAAACAAGCCACGTGAGCAAGAATTTAAATAAATCTGGTTCTTTGACTATGAAGACTTAGAAAAAAGATCGCCTATCCAGATGACCTGGCAAATCAGAGGAAAGTCTGCAGCAGGACAGAGGTGATGAGCAATGGTGCGATAGTAAATTCGTTGATAAATATAGCTACAGCCAGAAGAGTTCACTGCTTTATTTCATTACTGATATATCTACTAAACAAACAACATCTGCGAGAAACCTCAAGTAAATTTCTGTCATTGCTAGAAAGAACAGACCTGGTCACCTCAGGCTGTACAGATCCTAATGCCCAAAACTGTATCTGTCCATAATCTAATACCCTCTTTCTGTGACTATACCAAGGAAAGACAAAAATTACCATTCACCAAAGGTGATCAATACCATTTTTACAGAACTGTGAATGTATCCATAATAAAACTGAGAAGATAGGAATACACTTAATACTGCATGCTGGTATTAAAAGTCCTCATCCATAGACAAAAACACTCAGCACACATTTACACAGAAACGCAAACCTTCTGATCACCCAGCTCTTGCGCTGCCTGTAACTGAGTCTCTAAACTTTTCACTCGAGACGTTATTGCTTCCTGTACTTCCTGAAAAGATTTCTGGGTGGTATTTAAGAGCCTCAGCAGCTGTTTGCTCTGATTAGGAGAAAGATCTTGGGCATGTTCAGAAATGAAGAACTGAACATCAAACGCAGTGGACTCCAGTTGCATTTTTTTACAGCTGAGCTCCGCAGCACTGTTCTGTAAATGAAGAGAAGGAAATGACTATCAATGGACACAAATTCAGTACAAATAAAACACACGTATCGCCACCCTCTGCTCTTAGCTCCTGTTCCAAAATGCTTTTGGGAGACAGTTTGGCCAGAATAAATCAACACGCTCTGTCAGAATCATTCTGACACATTCAGATACGACATTTGAATTTGTGCATGGTTTGCCCCGGGACAGTCCATGTCCAAGCAATAAATAGGATGACCCTGAACATCTCTATTTCTTTGCTCTCTCATGGCTGTCTGAAAACCGGCTGACCTTCAACTCTAGAAGATTTATGGCAGGTTAGGTTTAACATTTCCAGTTTCTGGACCTGAAGACCCAGAAATGTTAGAATATTTACTTGAAAGCTTTCCTATTCTTAACTCCACAGCAAGCAGCCCCATTTCTAGCAGTGTGGCAAATTCTGCCCATAGTTACACACTGTGCGGCCCCTATCACGTTACCATGCTTAGTGGGACCCTATTAAAGCACAGTAAAATAACATAATTTTTACCATTCATACATATAGAGGTGTACTTTACTAAAAACTTGATCTGATATTTTTTTCACGACTTACTTCATGGAGCGTGTAATGAAGAGGCTTTTTCTCTCTCATATTCTCATGTATAATTGATTTGGAAGGTAATTAAACTTCACTAAAGATTCTGGATCTTATGCCTAAAGATCCAACTTTAATCACTGAAATATTTGTATTATAAATTAGATTTCTAGAATCATAGAATCGTTTAGGTTGGAAAAGACCTTTAAGATCATCAAGTCCAACCATTAACCTAACACTGCCATTAAAAAAGGGTCAGATTTATTGCAACAAAGGTAAGCAGAACCAAGAGCTTTCTTAGTAAGTCAAACTCTGTCAAAATTTTTTTTCAAGATAAAAAGCAAATCAGTAAGATTGTATTAGTGGATTATCAAGTAGTTGTCTTCTTCAGTAATTAGTTCTAGCTGTCTGTTTAAGCGATAGAGGTTAATAAGCAGGTATACAAAACCTAGCTAATAATTCCTAATAAGTAGTAATGTTAATCAGAAGCACCAACACCTGCCATATGGAATACTTACTTTAAGTAGCTGTAAACTCTTCTTCATCTCTTCTGTATCATTAGTATTCACTATGAAGTCATTCACGATTTTACTGTTTTCTGTGATCCAGTCTGAAAATGTCTGCAGCTTGCTTAAAAGTTGCTGGTGTAATACTGCAAGCTTAGACTAGAAAGGGAAGTTGTATATTTATTTATGCCCCTGGAGTCTAGTCACGTTTTCTATCATATTAAATAGAATCACACGTGTATTTTTATATTAAGATAAAACAAAATAAAGCAAAACCAAATCCTTTCTTTTTAGCTGAATTACCTTGAAGAAAACCAAGATAAAAACATACACCGATAAAAACATACCATTTCCGAGCCAACAGCACAGACTATTTGTTTTGCTCGTTTCGAAGATGTATCACAAACCACCAAAAATGCTTCCTGCAAACAGTCATAGCTTATCTTTAGCTCTTTAAGTTTCTCTTCAGGAATATCCCTGTGACAGAACTTTAAAAACTCTTCTGTCAACTTCATGTCCTTTTTTAGGATAACGGCAAAGGTAGCCAATCCTGATTCAAATGACTACAAAGAGAATATATATAAAATGCATTAAGTTACTAAGCAGGACAGACATTTAAATCTGAATTAATTTAATTATATTTGAAAGATCTCTTTTTCTTTTTTTATCTAAGGGCTTTTCCTAGCACCCATCACTGAAGTAACAAGCCTAAAGAACACTTTACTTACCTCTAGTTGTTCCAGTTCATCTTTTAGTATTTCCAGGTTGTTACTAATGGGCTGCTGGTTATCTAGGTGGCTTTTCATATCTTGAATCACTGCCAAATGTCCTCGCATTTTCTCTGTTAACTTTAAACATTGCTGTACTCCATCGACCTGAAAATTAGTTTTAACAATAGGAAAAGCTTTTCCAAACTCTGAGACTTGAAAATAAGCAATAACAGTCTGTGTTTTAATTATAATTTATTTTAAATTTATCATTTAATTTTTCAACCATTTTTCCAGTTTAATTATTCTCTCCAGCACTGGGAAGGATTCATGCGATTCCTTTAACACAGGGCATATAGCACATACCCACTGTTGTTACTCACCATGTTAGTGGGGGTGTCTTCCAGGACCACTTCTTTTGTTTTGAAAACAGGCTCAGTAAAGCCTTTGGACAAGCTGTCTGTCTTCCCATGCTCCTGGTCACTTTTCCAAGCAATGGCTGCATCGTCTGCCAGTGTTTTCTCTTTAGCAATTTCTGATCCAAACTCCAATTGTTCTGCTGAGAAAAGGGTACAAAGCCTATCTACTTTGTCTTTACCCTCTCGTTCTGTTGTGATACCAGCAACCTGTGAGCTCATAAGCAAACCACTTATCATCTCCTCTAATTTGCTTGCACTTTCATCTCCAGGTGAGATTTGAAAAATCTCCAGAAGTTGAGAGGTAGGAAGTTTTGGAATAGGAGCTTTCACATCTGTTTCATTCTTCCTTTCATCTGGATCATCCATCTGTTGCTTGCAAGATTCCTGCTTCAGAATATCACGAAGAAGATCAGGACTTCTGCAATCAGGCCAAAGCAATGAAAGAGTATCACTGTCCTTTGGCTCTGTACATGGTGCGGTAACCATTGATGCAGTTCTGACAGCATTGCTTATTTGCTTGAGGTTTGACCCACTAGACGAGTCAGTCCCAAGCTGTGTGCTTCTAACCATTGTGAGTAAATTTTGCATTAAAATTTTGGTATCAGAGTAACTTAGGGGTTCACCCTCCTGCTTGCAGTAAACATGTCCCGTTTTCAATTTCCTTTGTAATATATTCTTTAAGTCTTCCATGAGTGTGTCAGTCATTTCTGACAATTGTGAAATATCTTCCTTCACTTGAAAATCTTTGCAGGGTTCCATTTCCTTTCGTAATGACTCCGTGGGCATCTGCTTATTGAAACCATTTCCAAGGGAAGAAGTCTCACTGGCCATGAAATTTTCTCCCTTTGGGTTTTTTGGCATCTCAGGTTCTTTCTGGGCACCATAATTCAAGTCAGCCCCTATGGTGCTCAGAATTGCAGAAGAAACCTCAGTGGTATGACTCCCAACAGGTAGCACTTCACTCCCATCCCCTGATTCTCTGGCATCCTCAGTACTTCCTAAAGCATCTGCTTTTATTGGGGAAAATCCACTATCATTGGTGCTCTTGTCTGCTGAAGAGTCTTTAAGAACGTTGTCAGTATTTTGACAGATAACTCTCCCTGTTTCTTCAGTTATGCTAATTTCCTTTGATTTCACTTTATCAGTTGGGGGAAAAGAATAAGCGTTAAATTCACTTGAATGCATTTCTTCTGTATTTAGCAGAAAATCCTTTTTTCCCTGTCCTCAAAGCAACAGGATTCAGTTTTATCCAATTCTGAACGGTTGCCTTCTTTTGTGTCTGTTGTATGTTGTTTTAAAGAAGCAGAAGCATTAAAATCTCTCTGAAATTCACCTGATTTCACACCACCTCCAATGTCAAACAAAGCTTGGTCAATGTTTACTTGTTCTTTACTTGAAACAGGAGTTTCTCTATCAGCTTTAATTACTGATGCATCAAATATTTCCCCAAGGCTTTCCATCTGAATGGGACTTTTACTTAGCCCCATGATATCACATTCCTCCATCCTATTTTTATTTTCTGTAAGAATTTCAAAATCCATTCCTATCTGACCATGCTTCCTACTGGTGACTGCATGCACTTGGTCACTGAGTGAACTATCACCACCACTCATATAAGGCATATCCACAAGGAATTTAATGTCCACTTGGGATGAACTTTCCTTTTGTTGTTCAATACCAGCCATATCATTTAATACTTTTTCCTCTGCAAATATTGCTTCTCTCTGTCTTTGCCCATTATTTGAATCTAACCTGGGCACAGTACTCCTGTTTTTATTCATACTATGAATAAAGCATTCTGAGGGAAGCAAATTTGTCTGAGTACTGGCACCATCATCAGTAGCTTGCTTTGTAATTGGGAAGGCTGTTACACTAACGTCAGGTGCCACAACATCACCAAGAAGCTGAGAACTTTGAGCCTTAAGCTGTGTTGTATTATTTTCTTCAGTCTTACAGGATGTCCATTTAGTGTCAAAGGCATTTTCAGACTGAATAGGCTCAGTAGTGTCTTGTGACGTGTGTTTACTTTTGACACAAGTCCCGTATTCATCTTCTGTTTCCTGCTGTCTGTCTTCTTCACTTGTGCATGTAAGGCTAACACATCTTTCCTCAAAAATATCTGATGCAGTTTCACATTTTCCTGAGGATAGTTTTCCATTTTCATGGTTAGACTGGAATTGCAAAGTACACCCGCTCTTGTGGCCTAAAGAATAGCAACAATCATCAATATTCTGATTATTTTCATAGTTATTTTCTATGTCTCCTAAGGAAATTAACAGCTGGTCGCCTTTGTTTATACATTGATGGTGTGAGTAAAAAACACCCATTTCTTCATCACTGTCAGAATCAGTGTCAGAATCATCATAACTGTCGTAATCATCCTCATAATCATCTTCCTCCTGTGTTCCTTCAGATTCATCCTCATAGGACTCACTTTCCGCTTTCATTTCATCTTCCTCATTTCCATCTTGTACTTCTGCTTCATACATCGTCATTAAAGAACTAAGGCCTCCCTCCTTTCTTCCTTCACTCTCCGGAGTAAATGGTAATTTTTGCTCCTTCTCTCCAAAGCTCCCTGTTCTTTCCCTTTCCTCCTCAGGGATTCTTTCCATAGTTTCGGTACTCGCAGAAGCTGTATTTACACTCTCAGGTAGATCTGTCAGATTTACACTGACACTTTCTCCAACATTAGTTGCAAGTTCTTGAAAAGAGCTGGTTTCTTTTCTCAGAGTTATTAGACCACCTCTCTCCTCCAAAAAACCTAATGGAACTGATGTTCCAGACAATTCTGGCTCTGGTGTATCATCATCCCCCAACTGCAAGGCATCAAAACCATCATTGCCTTGAGGAGTGTCATAGGAATCATCATCATCAATTTGTGGAGTATCATAGACATCACTGTCATCATCATCAACCTGAGGTGTTTCATAGGCATCGTCATCATCATCATCACCATCAAAGTGAGAGCTGTCATCTTCACAGGGTACCTCACCACATTCATGCTGCAAACGGTTGCTTTCAAACTGTGGGATGCCTTCACTCCCTTCAACTGACGAGTCAGAACTACTGTCACACAGCAGTAACTTGTTGAATGTAAGATTGCTTTCTTCTACTGCTAGCCTTTGTGCTGTGCTGTCACTGTCCCCCACGGGTGGTCCATCATGTATAACGGTATCGCCACCAAATGAAGGCCTACAGTACACGTCTCCACTGTCTCCTAGACACAGCTTACTCTGCAAATCAGTACAATCCTCCAAGGATGGCCTGCCGTGTATATAAAAATAGTCCTCTAGGGATGGCCTGTCATGTACATCAGTGTACTCCTGTTGAGGTGGCTCACTATATCCATTATCTTCAAACTGCAGTGTGCCACCACACTGACTAACCAATTCTCCTGGAAGTCTATATTCAGTATCTGCACTGATAGACGAACCAAGACTTCTCTGAAAGTCATCTTTTTTGCCACTATCCAATACCATTCTGCCATTGTCAGCTTGCAATATGTGAGGCTTGTATTTTGCGCACCTTTGCAGCTCTGTCCAGGTCTCATTATCTGACAAATCATTCACACTCAAGGAATTTTGTAAGGTTTTATCATCCCTGTTTTCATTACTGAGATTGTCTGCCACATAAATCTCTTCTTTCTCTGTTTCTGAAGTAAGATTTGGATTTGAGTAACTTGAAACATACCCTTCAATGTTTCCTGAATTTGCCTTCTGATTGTTATGCCTACACAGTTCTGTCCACTCAGAAACCTCCAGAAGACCTCTGAGTACATTTCTGTTTGTGGAATTTTGAGTGCTACTTACTCCGTTTCTAAGTTCTGTAGGGTTAGTTAACATCTCCTGTGTATATTCCGATTGCTCAGTACCAATAGCATTGCAAACATCTGGTCCACAAACATGGAGATCTTCTCTCTGTGAAGATACAGAATCCCCCAAACCTGCATTTTGATTTAATTTCCTGTTATTAGAAGTATTCTCAGCATCACCCTGAACATCACCTGTGACATTATTGAAGTGGACACTGCCAGTTGACTTCAAGTTAATTCCTTTCAGACTTACATATTTGTTATTAAACTCAGTTTCTGACACATCAGCATCGTACGCAGCACCATCACCTTCCAGCAACATATTGATGGCTTCCTGCAGTTGTCCATCATATAATAAAAGTCTTCCTCCGGTGTTTGCATCCATATAACTATTTATCATCAGATAAGATATGAATAATTTCTTAGTCTGATCTAAATTATGACATACAGGCTCTTCTGTGCCAGAATCTTCATGTTCCTCCTCACAGTCATGAAATACAGGCGGCAGGAATTCATAGGTCGATAACCATTTTGCAGCATTTTTACAAGAGGACTCTAATTCTTCTACATTGGGCATTTTATCTGGTAAAGTCACATTGGTCAAAACAGATACAGTATTGATGTCTATTATCCCTGACTGTGCAGCCTTATCTAGACTGACTATTTCACAAGTTTCTGGAATGTAAAGCGCAGCTATTTTCTGTCTGTCATTTAGTATTTTGAATGCCAGCTCATTTGTTATCATCTCTTGGTGCAAAGAAGTTGATATGGGGAATATTTCACCAGTATGAGGCCAAATTAGCCCAACAAAGCCTCTCTGTGCTTCTAATACCAGCAGCGCGCTGGTTGATGATATCAAGTTGCATTGTACAGCTTCATCAACAGTCAAGCGTTGTCCTGAATTTGGACAAAGGATTCCACCAGTCTGAACCTGATGCGTGAGGATCCCACAAGCAGTGTCCTGATCTATCACCCCTTCTCTCATGGCCTCTTCCACAGTCATTTGCTTCCCCGAGTCAGAGTCAATTATACCTCCAGATATTAACTGAGCACCCAGCAGCCTGAACATTGTTTCCCGATCGATGAGTCCTTCATGGGCTGCCCTCAAAATAGTTATCTTCCTTCCACATTTGAACGTGATTCTACCTCTTTCTTGTGGTTTCACAGGTAGCAGTCTTAACCCTGTTTCTTCATGTATTATGCTTCTATGAACCATCTGTTCAAGGGAAATCTTCTCAGCACAGTTGGGGTCTATGAGATCTTTACATGTGTCTTGTCTTTCCAGAAGCTTTGCATATAACGTTGGAGAAATCAGGTTTCTCTGGAAAGCATTCTGCAAAGTCAGGTTTTCTCCAGTAGATGGCAAAATCACGTACCCACTTGAAAACTGATTCTCAAGAATTTTAATAGCCAAAGGTTCTGAAATTAGATCTTGTTCTAAAGCTGATACAACTGGAAGATTTGATAATGATGATGATTCTGAAATAAGCTTCTTTGCATTACTTAATTCCTGCAACTGCAACCGAGTCTGCTCATCAATTAAGGCACGAGCTTTAGCTTCTTCCAAATCATAACATACTCCTAATTCTGGAGAAACGATTCCAGAAAGGATCAGCTGATTCTCAAGCAATCTAATTCCAGTGTCATAGTCAATAAAACCTTTTAAAATAGACTGAAAGACTGAAAGGACTTCTCCAGTCGTTTGGTCAATGACACCAGCAATGACTTTATTCATCTAAAAAGGAATATAAAAGAAAAGTTATCACTATTTTCAGACTGTGTATTTTAAATTTTCTCTTGATTTTGAATGCACAATAAGCTTAAAAACATGTACTTACCAAGCCTGGAGGAATGCTGTGAATGTTAGCAGCTCAAATGCGCAAGTGATCTATGTCAGTCATTCAACAGCACACGATGTGATAAAAGATTTAAAATCAACATGCATCTGTGAATTGAAAACCTATGCTTTGCATACATAAACAGGGTTAGTGAAAGACAGTAGAAGAAATGATTGCAGAGTGAGCAAATAGAACATATACCTGAAAGGCAAATTTTCATGCTCTAAATGTCTGTGAAAGGTTAGAATATTCGGAAACAGTACGTGATTCAAAACAACCATGCTATTCATGTTTACAGCATACAGCACTTCTGTATATACACTCAATAATATGGAATCAGATATTCTAGCACCCAATATTGCATTTAGTTTGCATGGAAAGCATGAAGTCAGTTTGGCAACATTATCTGAACTAATTACACAGACACTGCCTGTATGTGTATATGAGAACACTCATTTGCAACATAATTTTTGAGAATTCCACATTTAAGATTAAGATCCATTAACAAATGTGTTTGTAGTGTCTCAGAGCTAATC